ACTTTATGAACTAGGCCTGTTGGTTGGGAAAAACTTATGTTACCTGGGCATAGAAAACTATCCGATAAGGGTTCTAATAGGTCATTCCTTGATAAGGTCAGAAAATACGAACCACCTTTCAGGTTGAAACTTATGCATGTGCAAGAGATACCCTTATGCGTCATAGGAGTGGTGGTCGCATCAGGTCTACATGACCTTGGTACGTCTCTAGGGGAGAATCTGAAATCCACAAACTAGATTACGACCTCTTGGCTAATCGGCCAGACTTTGTTGACTTACTAATGAGTCTCTGCATGGACAATGGGTCATGAGAAACACTGGGTTGGTTTGATAAAAGCAAGTGTAAACCGTAATCCACATTAAGGTAGAGTGCCCCAGTGTTTAGTTATTTAATTCCTAAACCATATAGATCATTTTTCCATGGAATGAATTTAATTATATGTGTTTTAATGATATATGATTTTTAGAATTGTTATTTGATTTTTTTAAAATCTCTGAATATTTTATTTATCAAATTTAGATATACGAACCACCTTTCAGGTTGAAACTTATGCATGTGCAAGAGATACCCTTATGCGTCATAGGAGTGGTGGTCGCATCAGGTCTACATGACCTTGGTACGTCTCTAAGGGAGAATCTAAAATCCACAAACTGAAATTACGACCTCTTGGCTAATCGGCCAGACTTTGTTGACTTACTAATGAGTCTCTGTATGGACAGTGGGTCATGAGAAACACTGGGTTGGTTTGCTAGAAGCAAGTGTAAACCGTAATCCACATTAAGGTAGAGTGCCCCAGTGTTTAGTTATTTAATTCCTAAACCATATGGATCATTTTTCCGTGTAATGAATTTAATTATATGTGTTTTAATGATATATGGTTTTTAGAATTGTTATTTGATTTTTTTAAAATCTCTGGATATTTTATTTATCAAATTTAGATATATGAAAACAGAGATATTGATTTTAGATTGATGGATTTCTAAAAATCATATAATTAATTTTAATAATTTTAATATTGCATAAGAGGCCCAATATGTTAATGGGCCTACCATTGCATGTGGGTGGGGCCCATGAAGTACCACCTAGGATGGTATGCCCCGCCCTAATGAAGCTTTCGTTGTGTTTGTTCAAGCTTTAGCTTGAAAATAAAACTTTGAAGTGTTTTGGAAAAAATTTGCCTTGAGGAAACTTTCAAAGAATTTTTAGAAAGCTTGTGCATAATTTTGGTAAATACTATACTATAAATGAAAATATTTTATTTAATTTCTATTGATGAGAAATTAGTTTATGAATGGGGTATAAAGGTTCTAACATCTTCTATGATGTTGATGGCCCATCTATATAATGGAGGGCTCAAATCTCTCACCCCACAAGTCACCTAAGATCAATAGTTCATATCCAATTTTACATGAAGATGCAAGCCATGAAAAACCCTAATCTTATTTTTGCATTATAAATAGATGACCCCTTAACCCATAAATCTCTACCCCTAAATCTCTCTTCACTCTCTAAATATATCTCTCTCTTGTTGTTAAGTTAAAGGGGGGCACACCCCACTTAGAAAGATCTCTCTCTATCTCTCTTATGCAAAATTAAGGGGAACGCCCTACTTAGAAAGATCTCTCTCTCTTTGTTATGAAAAATTAAGGGGCAATCCCCACTTAAAAAGATCTCTCTCTCTCTCATCTAGCTTTGATGATCTAAAATGTTGGGTAGTAGAAGTTAGTAGATTTTATCTCTCTTAAAACTAGGTTTTATAGGTTATGTCTAAGGTTTAAGATTTGTGATCAGGAGGGGTTCATAATTCCATTGGAGGGTTTGGCTTAAACTTGCTTTTACGGTTTGAGATTGAAGGTTGATCATTCACCCCGTGCCAGATAAAATCTTGGGGTGTAAGAAGCCTGGTTGAAGTAATATTTGGCACTTATTTTTTTCTTACCATATTTAATTATGGGTGTGTGTTTTAAAAGGTTGCAACCTTAAACAATCCAATTAAGGTGCCCCTCCAAATTTTATCATAACATGTAATTTTGTTGTAAAAATTCTTAGGATTATCTTAAAATCTATTTTCATATCTAATTAGAAAATTTTAAACTCCAAAAATGGTTAAAATCAAGTAGATTTATAAACATTTGACAATCTTGAAAATGGACAGTCTAGATAATATGTTGCAAGATGCACTATTTTTGAGACTCAAAAACCTTTTTTTTTTTTTTCATAAACATACATCTCAATGTCGAGATGATTAATTAGAGGGGTTTTCAACATTAAAACAACCTTTTCGATTGATTTTTGAGGCGCATCTGTAATTCTACATTTCAAGGTTGCAACATTATATAAATTTTTTCTTTTAATTATATAGTCCTTATATTCTTAAGCATAAAAATTGTGGTTATTTTTTTTTATTAAAGAATTTGGTTTAGTGGCATCAAGGTTTTTAAGATCTAGGATTTGTTAGTTTTATTTTCTTTGAAGTAAGAGTTATTGTAATAAGACTACTTGTAAGTGATATTTGCCAAAAGAAAAGAAAAGTGATGAAAAAAAATAAAAATAAAAACAATATATCTCCCAACAATATCACATTAATCTTTCTTTCATTTTCCTGACAAGAAAAAAAAAAAAAAAGCATTTTGAGTTTTCGCTCTCTATCCTATCCTTACTTGCATCTAATGCTTCCATAAATATTTTGGCTTTGTGCACTTACTTTTTACTTATTGGGAATACCTTTACGCAAGATCCTTTTACTTTTTTAAATTTTTGCTAGGAATCCCTTCTTGTTGGATTATTTTTACTTGTTTGATTTTTATTTATTAACTTTTTTCTTTTTCTTGGAATGGGTCCATTTGCTGGAACAATCACTTATTAATTCAAAATGTCACAAGAATGAATTCTTTATGTATTTTAAGATTGAATCATATGGCATGGGAAGTAATTTAAGTGTTGAAATCTCCATATAAGTAAGAAGAAATGGAAATACCCATATAAGGAAGAGGAAATGAATTGAGTTGCAGTGGTAGCACCCGGTTTTCAATCTTACTGGCAACACGTCTTGACATCTTAAAAAAAAGCTAACTCCCTGATGCTCTTTTCTATATGAAGGAAAATATAGAATGAGAGTATTTATTTTTGATACAAAGTGGTCATATTAATCTTGACCTTGGATGTGAAATTGGATGGTTGCAATTATTCCATTGATCAAAGTTTAAACTTTAAAAAAGAATTTTCGAACTTTGTGACCCATCCAAACTATGCAATTTCACATCAAATGGTTGTAAAGAATTGTGACTTTCTTGTATCAAAAGTAAATAGTCTCCTTGTATATAATCCCCTGAAAAAAATTGATAAATACCTATCTTCCCTATTAAAATACTAAAAAAAAAAACCCGTAGTGTAAGAACAAGTCCAACCCCTTTCTCTCCCTTTGCTCGCTCTCTCCATGTCATGCCTTTTTTTTCTAATCCTTCTCTTTCTATAAAAATAAATAAATGAGATTGTATACTATGATACCGTTTATTTTTTGTATCAGAAGATCACAATTACTTTTAACCATTGAATGCGAAATTTAACAAATAAAAGTGTCACAACATTCAAAAAATTTTGTTTTAAACTTTGTGTCTAAACAATAGTACATCATCAACCACCTCATTTAAATCTAGCGGTCAACAATAATTATGGCCTCCTTGAATAAAAAAAGATAAAACAGTCTGATTATATACATTTCCAAATAATAAAAATGAAAGATTAGTTAATGAAAAATAAATGAATTGTTGAATACAATGCAACACACCTTGAATATAGCGATGAAAAATATAATTCACCATCAATGATCCTCGAACAGCTAAAAGTTAGCCACCCAAAGAGATTAGAACAACCTTCCTTTATTGTGGGACCCAACCCAAGTGTGCCCATCACCAAGTGGTGGCTCTCTCATCCAAATTTCACCAGAAATTATCAACTCACACGAGCCTTCTCTCTCTAACACATGCCAGTTCGGCCCGGCAGGTTTCTACCCTCTGCTTTATTGATTAAACTACTTAGGACTCTTGACAGGAGTTCATAACAAACGATCNCCTTTTTTTTTTTTTTTTTTTACTTTTTTTT